AAACAAAACTTTTCTAGAGCATTTCAAGGCAGAAACCCTAAGCATTTACCCTGGTGCAAGGGAAGTCATAAACAATATCAAACACTTCAAACTTTGATATATTCTACTGCTAAATTTTAATGGAGAAGCTGTAAATTTNAATTTTCCTAAACATAATAGGAAGGAAGCATATTCTTTATTGAAGAGTATGACACATATGAGAACGCCTACGTATTTGTCGCACAAATCCCCGAAGAGGTAATCACTGAACCACCTAGAACGGTAAATCTTGAAGTAGTCAAAAAATGTGAATTCCATTCAACTTTGTATGCCATGAGGCAGTTCAATAGTGAAATCATTTAAAGCTCTAAACCGGCTGATGAAAATGCATTGTCAATCGTTGTAAACAAAATGAACTGAACTGAAAATTTTCAAATCCAAGTATCCCAGAGAAACTTTTGTGATCATTTGCAAATTAATTTACGCCATTGCCTTACTTCTGGAATCAATTGTTCTAGATAACAAATACTACCTGCTGCAAAATGTTTGTTTGTCTTAGTCAGCAAAGACAATTTGTAAAAGATTTGAGGTTGTTCACGCTAATGTTTGTGATACACCCGATATCTTGCTGAATACCGGTAAGATTGGTTATCTTTGATAAATGTTTTACATAGTTAACGATGCTATCTATGTGTTTTCACAGCTAGCAGGCTATCAGCTAATGGCATTCTGATAGCAAGCCCAAAACTATGGAGTCGGGCAGTTTAACTTGCGTCCACTAGGGACACCAAGGGGGACGATGTGTACTTGAAACCGATATATTTCCCAAAACTAAGACCTTTCACCGATGAAGCGAAAAGATATCTCTTCTATTTTCTCATTTTAAGCTCGACTGGGAAAACCCTGTAGAAACTCAGATAATGCAGTGTTTGGAGCTAAGAAAGAGCGACAACAACACAATAATCTGAATCCTGGATTGACAAGGGTCATTATTTGTCCTGTGGCTGACTGGACTGCACTGGGCTGGAGTGAACCCAATCTAGCGGATGCAAACTTAACTCAGGACCCAGATGCAATTCGCAGTTGCTCGGCTCGGTGGGGTCTATCCCTGAATCAACAAATGAACTCCCTCGATGACATTGTAGCTCTTTAAGCAGCTAATAGTGCAATAATGTATGAGCGGTATTGGTCAAAATATATGTTAACTCATAAATACTATGAAAAGAAGCAGGTACAATACGAATTCTGGTTTGTATTAGGCGTTTAATTTCACTTTAACACCTCATGAAAGGTGATAAGCGTTAACATCTTCTAGCAGAAGATTTTTAATTAATTGTTATCATTTTTTATTATTATTATTTATTATTTATATATTTATTATAATTATACGGACATATGTGTCGCTTACTGGAATGACAAGTTCCAGTAACTGAACTGAAATGCCCTACAATATTGTCAGGCATAGGGGTGAAAACTTTATGAAAAGAGTTATTGAAATAATAAAGTAATGCATCAATGTACTACGTCATCCACAGTCAAAATTCCAATTAGCGTTTTTCAGAAAGTAAAATATAATCTATGAAAATGCGTAAGTTGCAATAATTATTACCATATGCATTTTAAAATGTATATGAGCACATATTTTTAGATATTGTGGCGGATGCAACCACGACTTAAATCCTTTGAACAAATTTGGAAACTTCTTCAAATGCATTATTTCTTACGGTTGAACAATTATAGAGGACTATCTCCTCCGCGTATGCTCCAGACGAACATTTGTTTGACTTACTTTTATCACAGATTCGACCTTCTTCCCATGTTCTTCCATTGATAAGATAATTCAGATTCCGGTAGGACAGATAAACCACTTTTATTCGCCTAAAAATGGCTATGGTCTTCCTACCGATTTCATATCTGTACAGAATGCATCGGAAATGATTATCACATGTGACGATAACTAATTTGAATTGCCGCTGACGCAATGTTACCGTGACGGAATATTTAAACAAGCAACGAACCAACCAAAGTTGAGTCAAATAAGGTCCCAAGACGTGCAGCTTGCGTTGGATACATTCCATTCATTCGCATTGATGCGCCGCAAACGCCTTTTTGGAGTGCTTCGATAGCTTATTGTTATTATATGCTGTCAGGCCGGATAACATCAGGTTAGTTCACAGGACTGGCGGCTAGTGCCTGCGGGAGTCCATTTTCTTGCACAATCAAGCCCCAAAGTTATCGATACGCTACAACGGCTTCAGAACTTCTAGTTCCCGTAGGAGGTTAGTAGCTCCTTGTTGGGGTGATCTGGTACTGTTGCAACTTTGTGCATCCGTATCAGGTCCTCGCGCAGACGTCTGAGAGAAAGACTGAACAGGCTTAACCTTTGCAATCTCTCTCCGTAGGTTAGATTGGAAAGACTTACAATTGTTTTTGTCGCCCTACGTTAAACTGTTTGGAGGACTTTTTATCTTTCATCAATACTAGGGGCCAAGCCTGTAGAGCGGTGCGACGGTTTCGCAGTTCCTTTAGGATTTCGTAATCATTTGGTGATTTCGTGATTTGGTATCTGTTCCACGAAGAACGTTTTCGATGTACTGGTTTCCGGGTTTTGTTCCTGATCCATGTGGGAGCTTTAGTCCGCACGCTATCGCTTCTTATCGGAACTGCAATGTCTATCACCGTTAGGATGTTGGCTACCAGCTCCAGCCAGAGGTCGTCAGGTGTCGCTGCTTGGCGGTCTCCCGACCAGTTTGCTTCCGTCCTTCTTCTATGGCTTTTTTAATTAACTTATTGTGGTGTTATCATATGCCCTACCCTATGTAGTATGTACTGCCCTTGGAAATCACCTCGGATTCAAATACTCATGACCTGTAAGATGGGATTCCGGTTATATTAGGCTAAAATCAGGTAGAGGCTAGCCGAGGAAAATTTGTGAGGCCGTTATCGCATCACAGCTGGAGGGTTCATGCATACTTGATCTTCAGTAGCTCTTATGGAACAGAAGAAAAGAAAATATTGGGAGACAGGAGTTTGCTTCGGAGCCGGAACCCCAGGGTTGAGAAGGGTTTGCCCTATTTTCAACACTCTATAGCTAGGACCAGAAAATTCTTTTTTGGTATTGCATTCAGTGTTCAACTGGTGTTTAACCATACATGTATATGTCATTTAGGGGCATCATAGCGCGTGCATCGCTGTTCACCCACATGAACCACTAGATGTGGTTCATTCCCATTGAAATTGCATTTGTGAGCTGTTGATTCCTTCTGTGCTTCAACTGCCAGGTAGTTCCACAGCTGTGTGATGGATGATGTAACTACAAGAAAAGAGATGAAAAGCCGGATTGCCCACGGGGAAACAGCAATTCCAATAATTTACAGGCGCCGCACCTCAACGAACTCCTACCCTTTCCGTGGGAGCTGCATGGAGCTGTAAGTGTTGTAGTATTTGTTTCAGATGATTGGTGTACAAGAGTGATAGTAAAATAAAATGACCACTACACAAGTGGGATGTAGGTAGTGATTGATAGACTGAAACAAGTTATACTCCGGGAACACCTCGTCCCAGTAGTTGTCTAGCCTCTGTCTGACTTTTGGCACAGTGATTGCTGCAACTACTATGGTTGGTAACTTCTTCCAATCGTTTACTACGCGATGGGAAAAAAATTGTGCCCTGGTGCTCCAGTTGGCCCGTAGTTCCATCAGTTCCAGTTCGCGTCCTCAGATTTTTGGATGGTTACCAAGCTCAAACAATAGTCTGTCAGTTTCTGGCAGCCCTATGCGTGGTTTAAACAGTTCAATACATTTCCCTCTCAGACGCGGCGATGCAACGAGAACAAGCCAAGGGCCACCACCCGTTATTTGAATGACCTACCCTACAACCCAAGGGTCATTCTGGTGTACCGTCTCTCCACAGTTTACAGGAGTTATTTGTCCCTAACTAGAGAAGGGGCCCACTCTTGTATGCAATATTATAATGCGGTCGTACAAACGCTTTGTCCATTGACAGGAGTACGGCAGCCTCTCGATGATAGCGCTTAGCAGAGTTGGAATGAAGCCCTATTGGCGTTCACTGCAGCTGCTGCACATTGCATCGAGGGTTTGAACGAAGCATGCATTTGCACACCTAGACGTCTAACCACTTGGGTGAATTCAGTGGGATCCGTTGAAGCCTCGCATAGATGACGCACCTCATCCAGCCCCTTTGTGCAGCAGTAGTCGCATACATTTGCTTACGTTCAGCTTCCATTTAACCGCCCAGCTATAGATTGCATTTAGAGTCTCCTGCGTTAACCTTGATGCTGGATCCCCTACTCATATGAGGTCATCAGAAAATAGGAACCCGGGGTCCTGGTAGACCTATGTGATGTCATTAGCATACAGTACAAACAGAATGGGACCAAGGACTGAGCCCTGAGGGACCCCACTGCAAGCTGCGGCCGCTTCTGAGGTTTCCTGTTACACGCAAACATGGAACATTCTCCCACGTAAGTATTATTCGATCTACCTAAACCTGCTGATTTATTTGAAGGGCTGGCAGTTTTATTGGTAGTACCCCATGGTTGACTGACTCGAAGGCTTTCTAAAAATCAAGGCAGCATACTGTAGTAATCGGAATAGTGTTGAGTTTAGGAATACGAGAACTTGATCTGTACTGCTCAGAACTGAATTGGCTCCAATCCAAACTGCGGACACCAATGAAATACACGAGGAATTGATAGCAGGAAATGCTTATGTTTAGTGATAGAATTAGAGCATGTTTTATAGAAGGAAATATCTCATATGATTGGTTGAAGGGCCGTCGTCCAATTACGTAACCGTTTGCGCCGACGCATCATATGTACTAACTCGGATGTCACGTTCGCCCAGTGTACCATAGGTCGAGCTTCCTCAACGGTGATTGGATAAAATGAAACTGTACCTAGTCGTGCATGGATTGCGGTCACGGGAGTCTGGATCACAACAACTCTCTTCTCTCAAGAGTGCCTCATCAATCTGGTTCGCCTGACGGCTAGACCTGCGGACTGCAATCGTCGGCCTCGCCGGTTCCTGGAGGTGTCTTTGTGTTTCTATTGGTTGTTTCTGCAACGCTGATTCATGAGGCTCCGTCGGTTGTGTTGATGTGGTATGCAACTGAATGTCGCCCTCGCTTGTCTCTTGATGCCGCTGGTCCGTGGATGATTTGAATTGGATTTGGTCCACGTGTCGCTTGTGCACAGTAGCATCATTCAAGTCGGTAATTTCCACCATGGCTTGACCCAGTTGTCGTGTGACTATACCAGATGCGGGAGGCAAATCGTTACCACGGAAGTATACGACGTCACTGGAGTCGAGGCACCGTAGGGAGGATCGCAAGCGTCTGGATTTAAAAAGCATTGCCGGACTCTCCTTCGGGGTTGTATGTGTTGCGTTGTGGTATTGGAGTAGGAAGATATCCACCAACGTTTCCAACTTATGTAGCGTTTTAGGATTGGCAGAGGCAATTGCACTCTTCACAGTTATGACTAGATTCTCTGCCGCCCCGTTCGAACAGGGGTGACGAGACGCAGTTCGAAAATGTCGGGAACCGATGCTGTCTATCCAAAGCTTCATTTCGGTCGAAAAGAACTGAGATCCATTTTCCGTCACAAGCACTTGTGGAATCCCTTCGCGACTAAAACATTTCCGGAGAACTTGTATCACAAATGATGTGGTAGGCGTAGCCGAAAAGAATACCTCTGGCCATTTGGAGTATGAATCGATCAGGACAAGGGCGTAGTACCGGTTCAGAAATGGACCACAGAAATCCAA